TTTCCATCCTGTCCCCACATGCTCCGAGATAGAGCTGTGCTGCAATAATATAGTGTAAAGGAATAAAAAAATAGGTTGCATGGGAGAGAGGAGTCAAGATCATTTTTGCACAAACAAAGCACATGCAAACTCCAAACGAAAGTGCCACATGTGCAATGCCAGTGTCATCCCCAGGTAAACCATAATTCTCAAAAGGGAAAAAAAAACTACTGGCTAGAGGATGAATATGGAACTAGCACAACCTAACTATGCCCGGTGAGCCGTAGTTGGCCCCAGAGAAGATTGCAGAAGAGACATGCCTGCCAGCACCTTCCCTTCTCCATAGCCTCTCCCCCTGGGCCGCCACACTCTTTGTGACCAACATCTGCCAAGTGATTTTTCTTTTCCTCTATTGTGATTTACCTGGGGGGAGACACTGGTGTTGCATGTGTGGGACTTTCTTTAAGGGTTGGAATGTACTTTGTGTAAATGAATGGCTAGCGTGACTCCTACATCCATATTTTACCCCCCACTGTATTACTGCAGTACAGACCTATATGGGTCATTCAGGGGGTCATTCAGAGTCTTTCAAGCTTTGATATGTATACATTTGCATTGTTGTTTGTACGCTTAACCTATAGTAAGGAGTCCACATGCTATTCAGTTGAGTATATCTATATTGTTCTACAATTATATTATTAATGTTTATGATTTTTTTACATTCAGTGTAAAGAGACTTTAGGTCACTGCTTCTGAAGAAAGAGACCTGAATTTGTGAAACACACAACACACCCACTAAGCAAAAAAATAAATTCCTCCCCATGTCCTGGAATGTCATTATACATAAGAAAATGACTTGTGATACCTATCAAGGATTTTACAACAATATCTACTTTAAAAGAAATACTGAAGGAGTTTTTGTGCTCTATGTGACCTGGATTAATAATTATGTTTGACCCATGCGACTTCTTTAATATCCTAAAACGGTTTATTTGTTTTCAGATAATTTAATTCGTTGAAAATAAAAAGTACTATATTGTTTTAAGAGTTTTAATAATGGTTATAAATTTTATAATTCTTGATATAAAGGGCCTGTATCGTCCCATTTGGATGAGCTTAGCAAATGTAGATGAAATAATGGTTGATGGATGATCTACTGTACGTTTCAGTATTTCCTTTGTTATATTTAATGAGAACAGACATGGTGAAAGCAGATCAACCAGCTATGCACAGTAAAAATTATAAGTTACTTAACTTCTGGCATCTTATGTTAAGTGACAGAAATGTGGATTCCAGGCTTTGATGACAGGCATATTTTTCCAGTGCAAACCCTTAAAAGTACTTTTACAGCTGATATTATGTAAGCACAATATTTAACTACATTTGCACATTCCTAACAGTGAAGTAGACATACTTGGTAAAAAATGCAAACAAGATTTGCAGGAAGAGGTAGCCAGAAACAGCGGGTGGGTGCAGTCGGATGAGCTAGCTTAATGTGCACAATTGCATCCCCTTCTCTAATTCTCAGAACATCCTGGCCTTAGAGAAAAGTGACATTCAGCCAGGACATGATAATCTCTGCTGTGTGTGAATAGCCTATTTCTGGCTATAAGCAAGATCATTTTTCAGGCAATAAGACCAAGTTTAGGTGTTCCACCATTTACTTTATCGTGTCTGGATAAAAATAAAAACAATCAGACAAAGAAATCTTCCAACATCCTAGAAAAGCTTGGGACTGCTGAAATGTTACATGTAGGAACAGAGAATTCACAATAATATTATCCTCATGCCACATATCCTATAAGTCAATGGATACATTGCTGTGTCTACTATATTTACCAGAGGTAGGCAACCTCGCCAGTCCAGCTGTGGTAAAATTACAGGTCCCATGAGGCATTGCAAGATTATGGCAGCCACAGGCATGACTTCCGAAGGCAGATGCATGATGGGATATATAGTTTCAGCACAGCCGTAATGCCAAGGTTGCCTACCCCTAATATATACAATGATCCACTAAATTTGGGAGGATGAACAAGTATTATAGCTTGTGTCATATTGTTTGATGAATCTATCTGTTTGTGGCCAGTGCTAGACTCGTCTCAACTCAAGAGTATAGTTCAGACAGGTCAGTCAAGTCCTCCGGATCCATGTAAATCTGTGACTGAATACTAGAGATGGTTGAGTGATCCGTTGTAACTAGCTCATCCCTTCTTGTAACAAGGTGTCGGATATGTATTGTGAGCATTAGTGGGTTTTACAATATGTGTATAAAGCACAGTGCTATTATACTCGACTCTCAGAGGCACAATGACATTTGTTTTCAAAGCACAAGAATTTTTTAAGTTTATGGAAATGTTTAGACATTATTTGTAGTTTTAGTGTAATAAATAATGTCAAGCTCTCGCTATTAAAATGATATTGTAATGCTTATATAAAGTGTATACACATGTGGTGTAGACTGTAACCTTTCTTTGATTATTATAATACAGAAACTTACATATTTCATATAGTTGTAACTTCTGTTATTTAAACTAATGTATGTTTATATGCAAATAAAGGACCAGTTACTCTTGTTTTAGATCAAATATGTCAAAATGTATTCACCAAGCACTTAATAGAAATGTGTTGCTATAAATAATATATGTTGATGGTTGTATGCTGTTATTACATGTAATTATAGAATTCAGCATATTTCACTTCATCACTTTATTTTGTTATTTTTTTTTTTCAAATTTTTACATGCAGACTATTCTGTCCAGCAAAGTAACTGGTTGGGACAATCTGTAACAATGACAGGAGTACTTACAATGGTCACTTGTTATATCCTTATTATTTATATAAAGCCTGCAACCTCTTAAGCATCCCTGACAATGTTAGTTTGTTCCTACTTCTGTCATTCTCACATTTACCAATAAGCCTGGTCTTGCTAAAATAAAAAAGGGATCAATATCTAATACTATGATTGCATATATTAGCTGTTTGAACAGCATACAGTTTTTAGAATGTAACTCCTTTTTTTTAATAGTTTGAATCTGTAACCAAAATCTATGGACCTATTTATAAAAATCATTGAAATAATGGCTTCCTATTTTGCCCTATATGCTGATAATTTTTTTTTTGTAGAAATTCCAAATGTCAAAGTTAAAAGGCAAATGTTTTAAAGACAGTCTGGCATAAAAAAAATAGTGCAAAACCGTGAAATTAAAAATCATTTGTTCCACCTTGAGGAAAGTCCCCCATGGTGGTCATTGAAAGTTATTGTTTACACTTTGCTTACGGTCTGTGTCGATGGGCTTTTGTCTGCTTTTAACAGGGTTTGCATTCCTATACATGTCTGTAGATATGCAAAACCCGCTTGAAGCAAGTCAAATGCAGGTCAGATGTACCTGTCAATAAATTCTGAATTATCTCAGAAGCGTTTTCAAACTGATGCCATTGACGCAAGCCCAGAGACTGTCGACAAATGCCCTTGGTTAATATATTTATAAATTTGCAGTGTTTGTCTTTAGAGAACTTTTACTGGATTATTTCCACCTGTAATGTATTGTGAGAATAGGTGGAGCAGTTGCCCAGGTCTGCCTTATAAACAGATAAAACTGCCAGAAACAATATAACAATCAATTTCCTAGAGAAAAAAATGGCAAAAGGTAATTTTGGTCTTTATAAATAGGACCCATAAGCCTTTAATGTAGCAACAAGTTTTGTGTATGGTAGTGATTGATTTTTGATTATTGTGAATTTTTTTGTCTCTGAGTTGAGCAATAAATGCTTTTTCTGAATCACATTTTTAAGACTCCTTTTGTTACATTTAAGTAGATGTGAAGTTTAATGTCCTTCATATAGCAAAACAGTCTGAGTGGAATTTATCAAAATCTGGAGCCGTTGCCCAGGGCAAACAATCAGCTTCTCTGTTCAGTTTGTTCAGTTGAGACTTGAAAATGAAAGATAGAAGCTGATTGGTTGCTAGGTACAGCTGCTCCAGATTTTGTCTGCTTGGTTTTCTTTCTTGTAGTGACAGAATAGTTCTTGTTGTACGGAAGTGAAGATTCCCAGCTTTGCCATCTGACTTTTTTTCCATTATAAAAATATCAGTATCATGTCTGTCAGTGGGAAATTATTTCCTCTCTATATGCACATTATTCTAAGCAAGTGAAAGCATGCAGGCCTGCATAGCAATGTTCTCTCGCAGTACAGAACAAAAGTTATCCCAATATGCAGAATTGCTTCTGAGCTACTTCTGGCTGTCATTTCAAATGCTAAAAAAATGCAGTGCAGTAAACCTTGATAGAAATATGTTAACTTGTTTTAAAACCTGCACATTTCTACAGTCACCCTCTGAATCTTCATTCAGTCACTAGGTACTAAAGTTGGACGGTGGTTATCATATCATAGTCTGGCAAGAAGAGGAAGAAAAAAAAAAACTCAACTGGTTTCCATAGGGCGAATGTCTTGAAGGCGCATGCAGCCAACATTATAGATAGATAGATCGATATTAGAGCTTTAAGGGGTGTAAATTGAACAATTTTTCTTTCCTCTAAGCTATTACAAAGGCTTCAATAGTTGCTTTCCTGCATCGAGGTCCTGCTTAGTTTGCTTCCCTTGCTTCCCTTTATCTTTCTGCCAGTCTCAAAAATGTGGTCTTGGTATGTGTTTTTGTACATTTTTTGGTAAAGAAATTGTGTACCGGGGAGGAGGCTAATTAAAAATGATAGTGTCTGTAATGTGTTTTATGAAGATAACTCTATTTCATAGCATCCTTTGTTTCAAAATGCAACAGCTTATATTTATTGTCATGCCTTCATACTGGGAGGGTGTTTCTATAGGGGCACCATCTCATTTATGACATTTAGAACATGTGAGGAACTATTCATGCATAATACTTTCATTACTTTAATATAGTATTGCAAGCGTGGGCAGGCAGCACAGTATGAATATAATTAATTTTGTAAAATCCAAAAATATGTTGCACGTTGCTAGAGGAATATGGTTGATGCATGGGATTTTATGTTTTTATATTTTAGAACTCAAACATCAAAAAGTTGGATGGAGAAATGTACAGATTCTGCTGCCCTCTCGGCAAAAATATGAAAGCGAACCTTGTGGTCACCAACAGGTTTGTTTATTTTATTTTCAGTTGATATATTTTCATTAAGGTAACAGTCGGCATATTCACTTGACAAGGTTATGTTCAGGGGCATAACTACAGCCCATAGGGCCAACAGCAACCTCTCTGTGGCACCTGGCAATGTCAGCTGCGACAATAAGTGTCACTGACCTCAGAGTGCCGCCAACATAGTTCATACACTATCAGGGACCAGTTCTTGGTTGCAGTTTACCAAGAAGGAGCAGTAGCAGCAATAATAATTGCAAACGTTTATATTGTGACATAATTGTTCTACATACAATTACTCTGTCACCTAAGACACACTTCTTTAAAGGCTAAGTTCACTTTTAGTAACAGAATGTAACTTTTCATCAATTAAATTATGCCCTTTTGTACCCAAGCCATTCCTAATTGTCTCTCAATTGCCCCCTTCCCTGGCCACTTTCAGTCTGGATCCTCTCTGTTATGCATTTTAAAAGATGCTCCCCAAGTGCTGGACTTATCTAGGGTTCACTTGACCATCCAGGTAATAGCAGAGCCTGCAGAGGAAATCCATTTCTCATGATGCATTGCCTTACAAATGATGTGTGTTTTCCCTCTCTGAACTGTCCTTCCTTCATTACATCTGCTATTCGTCTCTTTTTAGCTAGCAACGGGGGTGTGCTCAGCTAATGGGAGGTGCGAGCACTGCAGTAGGATGGTGTAAGAGAGAGGTGGATAGGAGAAGTTGCCAAGAGTGGTGGGCAGACTTTCAGCTGACCTCCGTATCCAAACGATGTTAGTGCCCACAGGAGGCAGAGGTCTTCTGGACTCCTCTAATGCTTAGGCAGTCCTAAAATTGTGCACAGGATTCCTCAGTATATACCACTAGGAGATTTTTATCAACAAGGAGTCTAATAGCTGCAGTGGGCCTGGTCAAGAACCGAGCAATCAATTTCCCTTTCCTAGGAAGGATTTTTTAGATTCTTCTAATTGCAGAATAGGCTGTTTACTGTAAAGAGGAATTATCACTTTGCAAGCAAATTTTCCCTCCCATTATCCAATCGTGCAGGCAAAATGCTGTTGGTTTTTAATTTTTTTTGGTGTGGGGGTATTTTGTACATGGTTGATGATCCTTTGCAAAGTGAGTTTTCAACAAGCTAGGGCAAAATTTCCCTTGCAAGTGAACAGCCTATTTGCCTTTAGTAGGCGAACCCCATAAAACCCAGTGATGGGATTGTTCTAAGAAGGCAAAAATGACTGGAATTAAGCCAACTACAGTAAGATCCCCGAAGTAGGGAAAGCTTATGATCCTTGTGGAGTTTGTCATAACGGTCCATAGAAGGATGTTGAATTATATCTGTGCATACCTGTAACAACTGTGATTTCTGGATGGAGCATAGATAAGAACTGAAAAAAGTGGATGCACTCTATATGATGTGGGTAACAAGTGGGAATGAACATATGAAAGTTTATTCACTACATTCTTTGAAGGGTTGCACAGACAATTCCTGCAACATGTTATAACCTGTATTTGAATAACTGACAAGAACTTAGTGAATGCAGTTTCTGTTTTACTGATTAACGTTAGAGTACGCCAGTGAAAACATCCCCTAGGATAGCATTTAACCCTTTCACTGCCCTGGACATATGTGCCACATCTGTGGCAGCAGGGGCCTGTAAACAGACTCCCGGTTGCCATAGTAGCTGGGAGTTTGTTTACCCTTCAGCCAACTGCTGGCTTTCTGATGAAAGTGATTTGGGCGGCTGTAAAGCTGTCCTATCGCTTCCACACAGACTGAAAGGTTTTCTGATCTCCCCTCCAGTGAATGAACCTGGAAGCAATGAGCAAACGGGAGTCTGTTAATTAACATGCCAAGCCTCAAACCTGCATGCACCCATGAAACTGCAACAAACTTTGTCACCCAAAATTGTCCATGAGTGACGCTTTAAAAGTCTTTACAGGCCATCGATTTAGACTTAACCGTGAATAATGGCCCCAGAAATATTGCTCTGACTTCTGGTGTATGTGGTGATTTATGTAACGTGTAACACAATAATTTTCATATGTAGACACAACCGACCTATATGTTTGTGTACATATAGGGCAAGGGGTGGGGTCCTTAAAACAAGACTCTTGGATAGATTGAAATAACTTCACAGCAATTACTGCAAATCTGTTATAACAGCCCGGATAAATAACTTTTGTAATGTTTGTTTTAAAGGAGAACTATGGGGTAAGTGTTTTTCCCCATAGTTCTCCTCACGGTCACGGGAGGACACAAAATAGCGTCCTCCCGTGACCCAAAGCTCAGTACAACGCGAGCTACAGCCAGCACTGGAGGATAGGAGGGGGGGGAATCCCTGCAGGGAGCCGTGAGTGACAGTCCCGGTTCTCTGCAGGGACAGGATCGAGACAGGAGTGAGCGACGGTATGCGTTTGCTCACTTCCCGATCTATTGAGCCGACGTGTGACAGTTTCATTGTTACACGTCGGCTCGAACTATGAGGTTGAGTGAAAATCACTCACCTCATAGTTCTCTAACTCTATCCTATATAGGAGACAACAGAAATGTTATGTGCTGACAGAGAAAGCCTGGCGTATATATTTGGGTCCTGAATGCATATCTGGCTATAGGATAAGAAAAATATAGATCATTGCAAAACTAAACTATGCATGGTTCACTATCATTTATGCGAACATTTTGGAAAGAAGACTTTGCTTGCATAGACTGAAATACAGAGCATACATTGTATACTACAGTAGTTGTTACACTAGCCTTGGATAAACAACATTATTTCTTGCCACATGGACACATTAGGGTTGATTGGCTCCATATGTGGGCCACGCGTTTAGATGCTCAGTCTAAACAATAAATGGCTAATCGCTTGTTTTTGATATAGGCATACAGAGAGCTATCTTGGTTGGTTTTAGTTGTTTTTATCTCATTCAGGTGTAAAAGGTGTTGGGTATAGACGCATACATAGATAGAGAGGTGTTTAGTAACTTAATAATTATTTACTGAGATTTATAGTGTTTTGTAATAAAGTATAATAATATATTGAATTTCTATAAACATATATATTGAATTTCTTTTAATTTCTAATAGGCGGATCATATACCTAAAGGAAATGGAGATCTTGGGCCACAGAATCATTGACTGGGACTTTTCCTTTGAGGAGTTCCTCTGCCCTCCCACAGTGGAGGACAATATACTGACTTTATCAGTCAAGGTATATAACAGTTCACTTGTTTGGGTATTTAGCAGTTGAATGTGGAAGTGGAAACATTAGTAGATAAAACCCAGCCAGTCAGCTGATGTGTTGCACAGAGTGTGGTAGTCAATAGCAAGCATTCGATATTATGTTTTGTTTTGTTTTTTGTTTTGTTTTTTTAGTAAGCTCATTAAACAGATGCAAGGTCAAATATGGTTTATTTTGTATAGCTGCAAGTAAATATTTCAGTCTTTTAGTGAATTAAGGTTTTGATGTTATGTACTGTGTGTGACATCTGTCTTATCTGACTCCTCAGTGATGTTAAGGATCAGCCCTTTGGGCACCATGTCTAATGCACTTAAAGGAGAACTATGGGGTCAGTGTTTTTCCCCATAGTTCTCCTAAGGGCCACGGGAGGACATAAACTAGCATCCTCTTTTGATAGAGGCTCACATTCATTTTTCCATGAAGATTTCTTCTAGCAAGTCTCCAGCTGAATGGTTTTTGCAGCTTTCCGGAACTTTAGTTCCTCGGCTCTGCGTTCGAGAAATCATATCTTGGGCCAGTCTGTAACGTTGCTTCATGCGCTGGAGCCTGTTTCAGCAATCTGACATGGAAGAGGGAAGAGCCGTTATTCTGTCTCATGCTGTGCTTTGGCACTGATTTCTGTCGCAATGCTCTCAGACTTCCAGTAGTAGGGCCTGCTGTTGCACCGTTCTTACTTCTTGTAAGTTTTCTGCAAGCTGCGCACCATTTTCTCCCAGCTACATCTGCTACCGACCAGTCCAGCTTCTACGTCCTGCTACAGCACAACAATCCTTGCCTTGCTCAAGCTGCCTACAGTGCCTGGCACAGAAGGCTTAACCCTTCCTACTCTGCAGTTTACCAAGTCATGTGTACCCTAGGCACGAGATCCAAGAGTTCTCCCAGTCCCTTCTTGGCTTCTGCTAAAGAGGAGGTTTACCTCTGTCCCCTAGGGACCCCAACAGTCCTAGTCCAGATTGCTGTCCACTTGCTGGAGCACTGTCTGCCTTGTGTACTCATTCAACTCCCTGTGGTAGGCAAACTCCAGCTATGGTGAAATTACAAATCCCATCATTCATCTGCCTCTGGGAGTCATGCCTGTGGCTGTCAGAGTTTTTCAATGCCTAATGGGATTTGTAGCAGCTTGAGGTCTGGAGTTTGTCTACCTCTGCTTTAAGCAAACTCTTTCACTACTGTCTGGGGTAATGTGGAAACTATCTCCACAAACGTGCATCCTCTTCATACCCCCTGGGCTCATCCTGTTTGCCCATGGGCTTCCAAATAAGGATGATGAGAGTAGATGCTTGACTTGTTCAGAGGAATCTTCTCAGCAAAAAAATCAGTTCTCTGATATCTCCCTAAAACTGAAGGAAACAGCTTCTCTCCTTGTGGATGAAGTATACACCTGCCCTAAAAAAGGGCAGCCTGCATTGACCTTACCTAAAGTCACCAGTCTGGGTTATTTATAAAAAACCTTGTCCACCTAAAGTTTTTCCTGTGCACTCCCTTTTACAGCCTGTGCTGTAAGGTTTCTGACCACACTCTGAAAAGGCATTTGTTCCTCCCAAACCCTTTGCTCCACAAAGTCTTATTGACAAATGTTTTTGTTGAAGTGTGCTTTTCCGACTGTGGATTCAGCTATTTCCTGTCTGCATACAAAACATTGATGGTTCCGGTGTTCAGAGACCCAGTTGACAAGAGGTTGGAAGCCCTCTTAAAAGTTTTCGGTCGGCAACTTAATGGCCATTGTTTGGGAATGGGATGTCACACAAGCTCATATAGGTATGATGATCAGGTGTCCTTAAACCTTTGGTCAAGCAAGTAGTGTAGCAGACACTTAGGGAGCTGCTGTTTAGCCCCTCAACCAGTATATTGATATTGCTGCCCAGCATTCTGAAGTCTTGGTCCCTTTGCCTAACCTACAAATCCTTGGCTACCAGTAATAATTTTGCATGTGCAGAGTGTTAATAGTTTCCGCTTACACATTTTCAGAAATGTATGAATAGCTTTATTGCAAGTAGTTACTACTCATTAAAGACCTCTGAATGTTAATGTTGATACTGTGTAGCAACAAATTCAGTTCAGCTTCTACCATAGTATCTTTCTGCACCAATAGCTCACTTCTCTGCCATCTCTTCTTTTCATAGGACCAGAGTCAATCAGTCTTCCAGAAAAAGGAAAACAGAGGTCAGGAGGTTCAAAAAAGGATTACGCTCGATAATAGTGCGACTGCTCAGGTAAATAGAACCCTAATTATGTGCTTGTCAGCTGATGGATTCCAGCACACACACATTCTTGGACTGTCTCTTGCCTAATATTTTTCTCCAATTTAATCCATGGAGTGCGACTTACAAATATTATGTCTATAACAGACAGATCAAGTACTGATGCTTGTGCCATAACTTCCAATGTTTTCATCAACCTGTGGCCATTTTTTACATAGTTGTCAATCATGTCTCTTTATTTTTTTTGTCTTCCAGGCAGTTCTCAAAGTTTTAGATGAGGCATGGACCAGTTGTCGACAGCACACATTAGTGAGGCAAAAATCTGAGCGATTTATCAAGCAATTCAGCAACTAAAATACTATGTTATCAGTTATTTTTTATACAGTAAACTGGCAATTCAAAATATTTTCCAACACGCATGTGGTTTCCTGTGTTGTCTTCCTTTTACCCCTTTTATAGTATATATGAATCTCTTCTGCATTTTTGGAAAGGATTTACCTCTTGACAATTTGCACTATGAAATGCTGTGTTCATATGTAAATTTGCCTTGTGGAGTGTTTGATTTAGCACTTACCTCGTGCTATGCATTGAAGGTCATGTATTGCTTTGATTTTTTTTGCTATAAAGGAGAACCCATAATAAAGAAATCACACTTGGTTAACAATAGAGTACAGTTTTTGTTTCTTTACAGGTTGACCTCACGTCTATACAGGTCGACCTCACGTCTATACAGGTCACATAAATAATAATTTCTACAGCTACTTTATATTTAAGAATTAGACTGAAGAGTAAAAAAGTTCAAATGTAAAAAATGTTTTATTATTTGGCTGTCTTCAAATGACACTAAATTAAATTGTAATTAAACGGCCGACTGGAAGCATCTGGGATGTAACAGGCCGTCTAAAGTGGGAAACTGTCAAAATGTAAAAACAGGCGACGATGCCGGTTTACATACAAGCAGTTTGAGGCGCAGGTAGGTGCGCCCATCCCCCCTGTAGCGCTGGTCCCGAGCGCCTCTGTGCCCGGGTGGGCCAGGACTGGCACGTCAGCTCTATGACGGGATCGGAGGGATCCACATCTCAGTGCCCTTGCATGTCACTAATCTATTATCTGACATATCAGTCTGGATGTCGCAACACTTCTTAAAACTCAATTTTTCACAAACTGAGCTCATGATATTTCCTCCTGCCCGTGCAGCTTCCCCCAACTTTTCCCTTGAGATTGCTACCACAACTATCCAACCCTCCCCCCATGCCAAGGTCCTAGGTGTCATCCTTGACTCAGACCTCACCTTTCTTCCCCACATCCAATCACCATCCAAATCCTGCCGCCTTCACCTTCGTAACATCTCCAAAATACGCCCCTTCCTCACCAAAGAAACCGCAAAATTACTCATCCACTCACTTGTTATCTCTCGTCTTGACTATTGTAACTCCCTCCTCATTGGCCTACCTCTACACAGTCTATCACCCCTTCAGTCTATCATGAATGCAGCTGCTAGACTCATCCACCTAACCAACCGCTCAGTGTCTGCAACTCTCTCTGTCAATCCCTGCACTGGCTTCCACTCGCCCAAAGGATAACATTTAAAATGTTAACGACGACTTACAAAGCCATCCATAACTCTTCCCCCGGCTATATCTCAAACCTGGTCTCAAAGTATCACCCTAAATGTCCCCTCCGCTCTTCCAAAGACCTCCTGCTTTCCAGCTCCCTCGTCAACTCCTCCCATGCTCGCCTCCAGGACCTCTCTAGAGTCTCTCCCATCTCTTTACCCCAACCTGTCTGTCTGTCTCCCACTCTGACTGCCTTTAGGTGATCCCCTAAAACTCATCTCTTCAGGGAAGCCTATTCCTCAACCTAACCGCTCAACCATCACGTTCTCAAACAATCATCCCCACACAACGACCTCCTCATGTATCACTTGCCCCTCCCTTTTAGATTGTAAACACTCAGGGGCAGGCTCTCCTTACCATCTTGTCTTAAATTGTATTGTAATGTCTTCCTTATATTGTAAAGCGCTGCGCAAACTGCTGGCACTATATAAATCCTGTATAATATTAGTAAACAATCTCCCTCCGATCTTCTCTCTGGTGTCAGAAGTGTGACATCACTTCCGCATTCTGCTGTCACTCTCCGGCTACAGAAGCTGGAGAGAAGCTGATGCGTGCCGATCTAAGCTAATAGCTTGCTTTCTTCCTCGGAATGTTAAGATATTCTCTGTATACTTGTGTGTGCTAAGGCCTTGCTTCTTAATACGATTCATCACTTGTTGACTCTATCAAGGGAGAAGCCCAACACTGCAGGTTCCCTCTACTTAACCCTCTTAGAAACTGGAGTAAAAAAATCATTGACCTCTGAAGTGCCAATTATAATAGTGTCTGCGGTTCATTCTTCATGTTGTGAATATAGTTACTTATTCAAAATATGCTTCCCGGATCTTTAACCTCCAAGTGGTCTGAGACCTCACCCCTATTAATTCGCAATACTTCCAGACAACTATAGTAGTGATGGGGCTTTAATAAGTGCCAGACATACATTACAATTTTCATAAATTTATTTATCTGGATGATATGTATGAATAGATGCTAAATTGTACAATGTACCATTTACCTAAATCTTGCAAGAATCAGGGATTAACTGTCATGCTGTTTTTTATGTAATTATTATTATTATTTAATCTTAAAAATACATTTATGAAAATTGTAATGTATGTCTGACACTTCTTGAAGCCCCATCATTACTATATGTAGTTGTCTGGAAGTATTTTGAATATAGATACCAGTACAGCATTATGTAAAATTATGCATAAACATAATTAAGAAAATAAGGAAATAAACTCAATCAAGGTCATAAATATTAAAACCTATTCTCTACCCCCCTAAATGTGTTTCCTATAAGCCAGAGAAGACTTATGTCTGTTACCTATTTCATTATTAAGATCTATGTAGTAACATAGAGTGCAAAAGTCAGTAAGCAGTAACACAGAGTGCAGGAGTCAATAGAAAGTGATTTATAGTGCAGCGGTAGTATGTAACAGACTTCAGATCAGTACTATGTAATGCAGAGTGTAGGGATCATTACTACCACAGAGGTCAGGAGAAAGTATTGCAAAGTGCAGAAGTCGGTAGTATGTAACGCATTCTGCAGGCCAGTACCATGTAGTGCAGAGGTCAAGAGAAGGTAACGCAGAGTGCAGGGGTCAGTAGTATTCAGTTCAGGTTTGATTCTTCTCAAATCTTTGGCAGTTAATTTGCGCCTTTCTTTCCCAACACGTTTCTTGCGACCCTGTTGACTATTTGCAGCAAATCGTTTGATGGTTCTGTGATCACGCCACAATATCTTAGCAATCCCTAGTCAGTAGTGTGTAATGCAGAATGCAGCGTTCACTATAACGAAATGTAGAGTGCAGACTGGTCTGTAATAAGTAATGCAGAGTGAGGGGGTCCGGAGAACACAATGCTCAGTCCAGAGGTCAGTAGTACATAATGCAAAGTGCAGAAGTCCGTAGTAAGCACCGCAGAGGTCAGTAGTAACTCACAGTACAGAGGTCAGTGCTAACACATTGGAGAAATGGAAGCACTATTTTCCAGGGACAGTTTTGTAAAAATGGACACTGTGCCCAGGAACATCTGGTCACCATATTATACTGTCCTTGACGATACTAGCGCAACAGTATGTTGATATATCAGTGCTCTGCAAATGAGGTGACTGCCAACATGTAGATTACCTGAAATCCAGGCAGATATTAAGGTATACAATTTCAGCCATCCCTGTATCAGCAGCACTCAGACTGAAATAGGGAAGGACAACACTAATAATGCTCTTTTGCGGTGCACATGTGCCGACAGATATCATGCTAAATTTATGAGTGAGCAGAGTTTGTGATTTATAGTGTGTTGCTGCTCCTTTATTGTCAAATCAGCAGGTTGTTAGGTGACACTACTATATTCCATAACCCTGGCTGTGCTGTCTGGCAGAAGTGTTTCAATCACAAAAGTGGCTTCACATTTGTATGTCAATTGTGTATTTAACTGTTTGCAAAACAATTGAGCTTTAAATTTGTCAATAGCTAGTGATTAATATGATCCATGTAGCTGTAGCCTGAATTTTTGGAGCTTGACATGATTGTAGGAGACATTGATACCTTCTATGTGGATTAATTTCCAATGTGTTTGGGAAATCAATACAAACAAAATAATAGTAATTTAACATTTCTCAGTTACTTTATTAAAATCTTATTTGTACATTTTTGACTTCTCACTTAATATGTGTGTAACAGGAAGGCAAAAACATGAAATAAGAGTAACTTAACCAATCAAATACCCAGATATTAAATAACTAGAACCTTCCCACTGTGCAGGGGAGAGCAGTTATGTAAGAGTGGCGGCTCAGTGAGACGATAACATCTCTGCAATCCCTCATCCTGACTTTGCTGATAAGATTAAATCTTATGGCTGATTATTGGCTGTATAGCAGATGGAAGGCAAAGCTTAGACCTGCCCATTGCTTACACCTCCCACTATATTGCTTCTCAGCTCTGTATCCTGTCCTCATGCAAGGCACTTACATTTCTGCCTTTTGTGATAGAGGTGATTAGTAAATGCCATCAATGCTTATTTAGGTATAAACTAATGAATGAGTCATCTTACCCAAACCTGATTTTTGAGCAATGCAATAGTAATCTAGAAAGCATATCATGTTTGCTTCTCTAGTGTGTAGAAAATGTTTTAATTCTGTACATGTACCTTTAATGTATTGGGGATATTTTGTTCTCCTTTTGAAACCAATGTGACCTAATATTAAAAATGAAATGTCATTTATGTATTGATATATATTATTACCGAAAATGTAAAACTTATTATAACCTGCAAGATTTAGGAGGCACAACCGTAGATGTACTGCTTGGTACCAGCTTTAACCTATGTCTTAAAGCCGTGGTTCTCAACTGGTGGGTCGTGATCCAAAAGTGGATCGCAATCCCATGTTCAGTGAGTCGCCGCGTACCTTTCACTGCACAAGGTGAGAGGCTCCACAGCCTCCCCCTTAGCGCAGCACTATCAGTTCTCGCACCAAGCAGCCATTCAAAATATGCTGCCTGGTGTTGAATGTCAGCTTGAGGTGGGGTTACAGCTCCCTCTCGTGCCCTTTAGAGATGCCCGAACCGGAGTGACATCACATTCTGTCTCCCAGCACTTATAACGCGGTGTGCATGGGAGCTGTACAAACAATACACATGGATGGAGCTCCGTCGCAGCACTGCAACTCACACTACACCCCAGGCTGAGGATCCACTCTAGTTCTTATAAGATAGGGATACTGGGTGGATCTTAAAAGAAAAAAGAATTACTTTTTTTGGGGGGGGAGTGTGTATGTGTGTGAGATTGTGGCTGTGTATGTCTGTCAGTGTATTTGAGGGCCTGTTCACACTAGTACAG